GTGCGTGGGATTCAATGACCTTTTGGGCATCTCAGTATACTGAGTTTCTTTCCACAGTGGGGGACATGTTACTTGACAGAGTCTTTGCTCAGTGGTAGGAGAGTACCAGGAACCTTAGGGACTTCCCAGAACACATAGGCATCATGTTAAAATTTAAAAAAAATTTGCAACGTATTTCACCCAAATAATAAAAAATTGATATCCTCAATTGCTACACAGATTTAAAAAGGTTTTGAGGAAAACAAAAACAAGAAAGAAACACATGGTCAACAAAATTGAAAGGAGAATCTTCATTCTTATTAACAATAAATGAAATGCAAATCAAAACAAAATAAGGTGGCAAATACAACCAGTGGTCGTTGTTATTTTGTTTTTGTTTTTGTTGGTCTTGGGGTTTGAACTCTGGGCCTGGGCGCTGTCCCTCAGCTCTTCAGCTCAAGGGTAGCGCTCTACTGCTTAAGCCACAGCATCACCTCTGGCTTTTCTGTTTATGTGGTGCTAAGGAATCGAACCCAGGGCCTCAGGCCTGAGAGGCAAGCATTCTACCACTGAGCCACCTTCCCAGCTCCCAGTGGCAGTTCTTAATGTGATGAAATAATAATATACAGGCTTAAAACTATTAGTTAAGTTTCCCATCTCTCTTGTTCTAGTAGTTACACTCATATTATGTATCCTAAAAAAGTATCATCTATTTATGCAAAATTACATAGAAATGTTTAACTGTTATGATAAAATTAAGAGCAACTAAACTATAGGCAACTGGCTCCCCCCCTCTCTATATATAATGGGATGTCATGTAGCTCAGAAAGTTATGTCAGAGAATCTTGTTATGGGAAATAAAACATAAATGAAAATAAGATAACAATATGAATAAGATACAAATAAAATAATAATATTAAAATTAAATAGTAAAAGAAAAAAAGTATAAAGTGCAAACTATATAAAGTATGATGTCAGTTTGGGGGGAAAAAACCCTAAAGTATTGGGAAAAACAACAACAACAGGAAAAGGCAGAGCAATCAATGCTTTACAGTTTTGGTTCTTGGTGGTTTTGGTGCTAGCTGGTTTTTGCCTTCTCCTTTAGATCAGCCATAGTCTTAAAACATTTCATGACATGTATGTACTTGTACAACGAGACATGAGGGTCTGTAGATGTAGCCCAGAGATAAGATGAGAAGCTAGGGAGAAGAAAAGAGGGAACTGCTGTTCATCACCATCGCCTGGCCTTGTGTTGGATGGTGGTGACGGTGGTGATGGTGGCGGTGATGTGGCCCATGGTAATATCCTTCATCATAGATGCTGCTTTAGAACTGGGCAGTATCTTGGACGTGGTAGATGTCTATTCAGGCATCAAGCAGATTTCTTTTCTTTTTTTGGCCAGTCCTGGGGCTTGAAACTCACGGCCTGGGCACTGTCTCTGAGCTTCTTTTTTTGCTCAAGGATAGCTCTCTACCACTTGAGCCACAATGCCTCTTCTGGCTTTTTCTGTGCATGTGGTGCTGAGGAATCGAACCCAGGACTTCATGCATGCTAGGCAAGTACTCTACCACTAAGCCAGCCCAGATTTCATATTTTTATAATAAATATCAGATGGGAGCTACTTTAAGTCTAAGTGCGAACCACTAAATCCTATGAACAGAAACTCTCCACTGCTTCCTGGCCTTGGAAGCGATAAAGATCCCTCAGGCAGAGAAAGGGTCCCCTTTACTCTATGAGTTACTTTTATTTGTGATTTGGTTTTGAGTAGAGTGGTTATTATAGGTTCTTTTCATTCTTATTCTGTGTGTGTGTGTGTGTGTGTGTGTGTGTCCTGGGACTTGAACTCAGGACCTAGATACTGTCCCTGAGCAGCTTTTGTGTTCCAGGCTAACTCTACCACTTGAGTGATAGCTCTACTTCTAGCTCTTTTGGTAGTTAATTGGAGATAAGAGTCTCATGGACTTTTCTGCCCAGGCTGGCTTCAAACAATAATCCTCAGATCTCAGCCTTCTGAAATTACAGGATTATAGACATGAGCCATCAGTGCCTAGCTGATTTTTTGTTCTTTTGTAAACGGCCAGTTCTGTGCAATGAGAGCAGGGAGTGGACCAACCATGACACCAGTTAGGAAGTGAGGAGTTTGAATAATCATAAAGTAGCTCCAAGAGCATCCTTTGGCTACTGTTTTCTAAATCTGGCCCTTTCTTCTCAGAATAGATACTGATTTCTTATGATTCAAATAGAGTCAGTACTTGAAGCACAGGTTCATAAATAAAAATGGAAAACTCTTTTATGATCCTTGCCCAGAGCTCTGCCTTGACCTCCACCCGTTTGGTTCACCAGGAGGCAGACACTAAGCCTGTGACTTCTGTTCTGTCACTTGCTCCTCAATGTCCCTTCAAATGCTTGAAAAAAAAAGCCACTGTAACACCAAGGCTAATTTTGGATTTGGTGACACTTTTCTGTTATCCTTATATAGAATGAAAAGAAAACTTTAGCTTGGACAAAATGCTACAAAAAAAGAAAAAAAAAACAACCCTACCCTTTAAAAGCCTCAACAGAGAGAAGTTTGGAACATTCACAAAAATAGAGAATACACTAACATGCTCCGGATACCTGCTACTCCACCGCCATAGTTCCTCTCATTTCTGGTTCTTATTTTCTGAAGTAACATAACATCAATCCCACACATTACATTGATTTCACCTGCAAATACATCAACATTTCTAGCAGACAAGGATTTTTGAAACATATCCATGAATAATCCCTTGTCCAAAGTATTTTAAAGTTTGCAATTTTGGGGGGGAGGCAACTGGGAAGTATTTGCATATATGCAAATTATATGTGCTTATATATGCAAATATATGAGATATCTAGAGTTGAGAACGAAGTCTAAATATGAGATGCATTTACATTTTCTTATATAACTTATGTATATATATATATATAACCCAAAGGTAAGTTACACATTTTTTAACAATAAATATGCACATGAAAATAAATTTCACGGTGTGCAATTTTCAGTTTGTCACATCATCTTAAAACTCAAAGAGTTTCAGATTTTGGAGCAGTTCAGATTCCGGAACTTTGGATTAGGGATGTTCAACCTGTGTGGCTACCTTAACAAAGTTTTACAAGTCTCTCAGAAAATCTGGCTCTAGTTCACTCTACTAGAAGTATTTTATTTAGTATCCGACATAAGTATTATTTTCCTAATTCTAGTCCTGCTTCTTTGGAATAAAAAAATTTAAACTGTGTTAGGAGGTCCTAACTCTGAAATAAATCACACACACACATACACACACACACACACACACACACGTGTTTGTTTTAGTTGTCCGTAGATCTAAGATCTGAGGTCTAACATTCTAGAGCCCCTTCCTCAAAATAGGAGTCTTCAGAGTCTGCCTGACATTTGACTCGTTGCTCCTTTGCTATTTAGCATCTTAAGTAGTCGTGAAAATAGATAATACAGTAGCTCATTTTTTAAATGAAGGAACGAAGAAAGACTGACAGATTAAATTATTTGGCCATTGAGGACTCAGCGTACATGTATTAAAAAAAATGAGTTCCTGAAAGTCATGTGAATTATTTATTTGACTTACCCATTTGCAAAGGCAAGCATATATAATTCAACCAAAAAGGACTGGGGTTGACATGGATAAAAATGGCTTGGAAGGGAGGTGAGCCTTTAGAGGAGTTGCTTTTTAAAATGACATCTTTTATGGAGAGCTGCCTCACACGTGGCGTGTCAGGAAGATGGCCAGGGGAAGGTTATAAAGCCAGTGTGCACGAATAACCTTTACTTGGAGTTTTTGTCTGAGGTCTTTCCTTCGAATGAAGCAGGGCTGGCTTGGTAATAATGTGTTGAGGCAGAGCACTGTCTTCAGTACTTGGAGTCCTCGTGCTTGCCAGCTGATGAGGTCTATTTGGCCTTCTCATAAAATCCAGATCCTGTCATATTAATGGAGTCTTGCTTATAACAAACAGTGAGTATGGTCGCTTTCCAGAAAGTTGTTTTGTTTAACCAGAGGCCTAGCAGAGTTCCTAATACATAGGTAGCTGTTCATAAATGTTGAAGAAATAAGTTAGTTGAGAGATAATGGCTTGTGCCTTTCATTTCTACTAGGTAAAAGATTGGAAGGATTGAGGTTGGAGGCCAGCGCAGGCAAAAAGTAAGATTCCATCTCAACAACTAAATTGAATATGTGGTACTCACTTTTCATTTCGGCTACACAAGAGGCTGTTGGTAGGAGGATCAAGATAGAGAGGCTGGCTCCTAGACCAAAACTAAAATAAATGACAACAGCAGCAACAACAAGCTACTCATTGAGACTCTATCTGAAAAATCATTCAACCAACCAAACAACAAGAACAACAAAAACTGGGGAGGGTTTGCTCAAGTGGTAGAGCGACTACTTTGTAAACACAAGGCCCTGAGTTCACACCCCTATATTGTGAAAAAAAATAATTTCATCCTGTAACATCTCTGAAAAGTGTTTTTTAAGGGAGCTGGGAAGGCGGCCCAGTGGTAGAGTGCTTGCCTTGCATGTATGAGGCCCTGGGTTTGATTCCTCAGCACCACATCAGCAGAAAAGGCCAGAAGTGGCGCTATGGCTCAAGTGGTAGAGCGCTAGCCTTGAGCTGAAGAGCTGAAGGACAGAGCCCAGGCCCAGAGTTCAGGCCCATGACCAAAAAAAAAAAAAAAAAAAGTGGTTTTTAAGTGCATCACAATCTTGTAGATGAGTGCAGCTAATGGTCAAGCGATGTCCTGTAAGCATGCTGGTGCGGGAGTAACAGCCTGATTTCAAATGCAGAGGGAGCTCCAAGGAGAATCCCTTTCATCTGCAGCCATATTTGCAGAAATCTCAAGGGAAAAACCACAGCAAGTCACTGATGTTCTGGTTTCTTTTCTCCTGCCTCCATATGAATTTCTATCCAATCCAAGGGCTGGGCGATTAATCCTTAAGGGAGGGACATGTATGCAGTATTGTCTCTCATTATGTTTCTCTCTCTTGCAGTTTCCAAAGTGTCTGAATCTATTTGAACCTGAAGCACAGAGAGAGCGTATTCCTCTTGGAGTAGAAGCCTGAAGACAGCTGTTTGGGAGTGTCTCCTTTGCATGCCAGGTTGGCTACTGAGATCTTTTTCATGTGGCCATCAGAGCAGTTGCTTATACTGTCTTCACCAGGGTGCTTTTGTTGTTGTTGTTGTTGGCTGTGAAGATTGAACGCAGGGCCTTTAACTTTTTTGTTCCAGGCTAGCGCTCTACCACTTTGAGCCACAGCATCACTTCTGGTTTTCTGGTGGTTCATTGGAGAAAAGAGTCTCATGGGCTTTCTTGCCCAGACTGGCTTTGAACTGTGATTCTCAGATCTTGGCCTCTTGAGTAGCTAGGGTTACAGGTATAAGACACCAGCACCTAGCTTCAGGTGTTTTTTTTTGGGGGGGAGAACTTTTTTCTGTGTTATTTAGACAGATTGAACTAGAGATCTTCCTCTCTCAACCTCCTGAGTGTTAGGTGCTGAGACTACAGAAATGTGCCACCCTGCCTGACTTTTGCCGGGCTGATTGTGTGTTTGTATGTGTATTGGTACTTGAACACAGGGCCTGGGCACTGTCCTTTAGCTTTTTTACTCAAGGTTGGCACTCTGCCATTTGAACCACACCTCCATTTCTAGCTTTGATGTAGTTCATTGGAGATAAGAGGCTCACAAACTTTCCTGCTGAGGCTGGAATCCTCAAAGCTCAGCCTCCCGAGTAGCTAGGATTACAAGCGTGAGCCACTAGTGCTTGCTTTAGTCTGTCAACCTCTTCCCCAGGAGGCCTGGTGGTATTCAGGTGTGGAGGGCGCAGGTATCCAAGCTAATTCTGACAGGTGGGACAAGGCCAGTGAGGCAGACCGTTTTCATCACAGAAGGATCAACGCCCCCCTCTCTTTCTGTTCTAGTTGGAGACGAGGCTTGAGGACTTCCTGCGTCGATGGTGTCTCTGGCCTGGAGGGGATTGGAGAAGTAACATCGCCCAGCTTGCCAGCAGGGGCCCTGAGAGCCTGCGCCTCCCCGGGGTCTTCCCTCGCTGCTGACCGATGGCCCTGGCGGCAGCGGCCCTCTGAGGCTCCGAGCTGGTCCCGCAGCGCTGCAGGCCGGACGATGCTGAGTTCCATCAAGTGCGTGCTGGTGGGCGACAGCGCCGTGGGGAAAACGTCCCTGCTGGTGCGCTTCACCTCCGAGACCTTCCCCGAGGCCTACAAGCCCACGGTGTACGAGAACACGGGGGTGGACGTCTTCATGGACGGCATCCAGATCAGCCTGGGCCTCTGGGACACGGCGGGCAACGACGCCTTCCGCAGCATCCGGCCCCTTTCCTACCAGCAGGCCGACGTGGTGCTCATGTGCTACTCCGTGGCCAACCACAGCTCGTTCTTGAACCTGAAGAACAAGTGGATCGGGGAGATCAGGAACAACCTGCCCTGTACCCCAGTGCTTGTGGTGGCCACCCAGACGGACCAGAGGGAGGCGGGACCCCACAGGGCCTCCTGCATCAACGCCATAGAAGGGAAGAGAATGGCTCAGGAGGTGCGAGCCAAGGGCTACCTGGAGTGCTCGGCCCTGAGCAACCGCGGGGTGCAGCAGGTGTTCGAGTGTGCCGTGCGCACGGCCGTCAACCAGGCCCGCAGGCAAAACAGAAGAAGGCTCTTCTCCATGAACGAGTGCAAGATCTTCTGAATCCACCCCCCCATGCTCCCCCAACAAGCACGGACTCGTGGGGAGAACGGGGCCCCCACCCCCAAGCCAGGAAGGTTGACACCCAAGTATAGTTGGCAGGATTTGTGACTCTCTGCTCTTGAGTAACATCATTCTACAAATGTATTCCTGACCAGAACAAACAAACAAACATAGAAAACCCTTGGAAAGCCCACATGAATAGTCTATCCTGTGATGGAAAAAAAAAACAAACTAAAATGGCCTCCATAATGTAGAACAGTGAAGTGAGTTTTCCAAGTATGTCATATTTAAAGACGTTTTATTTAAGTACTAACGAAACATAGAGCTCTTGTATAGCATTTGTTTTGTGTGTGTGTGCTTGGAAAGTTTACATACTTGCAAACAAACTGCTGTATGAATGAAAGTCACCTGAATGGGGAATTTGGATGAAACTATTTGTCTGCTGGATTCCCTCCCCCAATCAGATCTTAACATGACCAAAAATTGATCCTAACAATCGTTTCTATTTATTCAGAGTTCTGCAGAAGACATAGTTCTAGAACATTATACTATTGCCTAATGATTTTTGAACAGTTACCACCCTTTAAAATTATAGAAAAAGGCTTTGATGTGTGTGTGTGTGTTGGCTGGTTCTAAGGCTTGAATTTAGGGCTTGGGTGCTGCCTTTGAGCTCTTTTTGATCAAAGCAAGCCAGCACTCTACCACTTGAACCACAGTTCCACTTCTGGATTTTTGGTAGTTAATGGGAAATAAGAGTCTCATGGATTTTTCTACCTGGGCTGGCTTCAAACAGTGATCCTCAGGTTTCAGCCTCTGGAGTAGCTAGGATTAATGGTGTGAGCCACCTGTTCCCAACTGTTTTTCTTATTTTTGGTCACATATTTCAAGTTGAGAACACAGGACTATATAACTTAGGAAGGAATTGTGGAAAACATAATGACTTCCCTTAATCAAGTAACATTAAGAGCCACTTGAACCACATTTTCAGGTAAACACATCATACTTACAGTGTAGCATGGGTATTACATACAAGGCAAGGCCACCAGCATACATGACAATGAGTAGAACTGTGCTGACAACCAGAGCAGTCTGTCAGATCCCTTCTTTATAGCTACAGTTGGTGTCAAAAATCTAATTTACATGCCTCACCCGCCCTTACTTTGGTCTCTTTTTTCTTTTCTGACCACCTCCAGTCAGTGGCTTGGGACCCTGATCTTAGTCTCAGGAGAAAGTTTGTGTCTTCAGCTACTATCTCGGCCCTCTGGTCCTGTGGCCTGTCCTTGCTTTTGTGTGACTTGTGTCTCTTGACCTGACAGCCTTTGTCTCCAGTCCTTGGCCCTGGGCATCCTTAAGGGTTGGAGGGCTAAAGTGCTGGCCAGGTAGGGGAGAAGGAGGAGATCCTCTTCCTGTTCTTCAGCATGAAAGGGTGCTAATTACAATTACAGTTTCTTTAGGGTGGAGGGTGCTGAACATGTTAAAGAGATGAATCTCCACTTGCTAAAATTGGCTGTCCCTTACATTTTTTTTTCTTTCCTTCTGTTGCAGGGAGGGGTGTGTGTGTGTGTGTGTGTGTGTGTGTGTGTGTGTGTGTGTGTGTGTGTTGAGTTTCTGAAAGTTAGAAGAGCCCTGGTGCTGGTTCTCAGGGAAGGAATAGGATAAACTTCCATGGTAGAAATCAGAGGGGTAAGGGCAGGCCAGAGAAGGCACAGATGGCATTGCTACCATCTGGGCAAGGACACACAAATAAAGCCTTTGCTTGGCAGGAGCCAGGAAAGCCTCCCACTGCCACTAGGATCTGTGTGTGAATCCTCCCGAGGCCAGCCTTGAGCAATGCCAGTGTTTATTTCCCTCATAGACTCTGTCCTTAAAGGCAGTGACAGCTTCTAGGGACCCCACTGCCCAGCACAAGGAAAGAACTTTGGTTAAATCAACTTGTATTGAATTCAGCCAAGGAAAGACAGAAATCATGTTTCAGTGCTTCCAAGTAGTTATGAGAAGGAAGCAGACCCTGGCCAGACTCAAAGGGGTGAGAAGTGAAAATAGGTCATGGTGGGGGTTCATGTGCATGCTCTACCTAACCATGTGGTTATTTGTGTCTGCCTGCATGAAGGTACAAGTCTTACATTCCAATACTTACAGTACGGGGGCTGGGAAGGTGGCTCAGTGGTAGAGCGCTTGCCTTGCATGCATGAGGCCCTGGGTTCGATTCCTCAGCACCACATAAGCAGAAAAGAAAAAAGCCAAAAGTGGCACTGTGGCTCAAGTGGTAGAGCGCTAGCCTTGAGCTGAAAAGCTGAGGGACACTGACCAGACCCAGAGTTCAAGCCCCATGACCGGACCCAAAAAAACAAACAAACCAATACGTACAGTACTTTATTTATTTTTTTGCAGACGATTATGTATGTACTTTGCATTATTCTTCTTAAAAATTATCTTTAAGTAGTTGTACAAAGGAGTTGCCATTTAACAAAACAGTTTATGAATACAAGACATCTCGATCAATGTGACCCTTTTCAACACCTCTCCCTTCCCAGCCCAGCCCTTCCATCTCCTACTTTTCTTAATACTTTGCATTATTCTAAGCAGCAGAATTAAATGCCCTCTTGTTTACAGGGAAGAGTGGTTTTTTAATTTTTTATTTATTTTTTGTCGGTTGTGGGGCTTGAACTCTGGGCTTGGGCGCTGTCCCTGTGTTCTTCAGCTCAAGGCGAGCGCTCTACTGCTTGAGCCACAGTGCCACTTCTGGTTTTCTAGTGGTTTATTGGAGATAAGAGTCTCACAGACTTTCCTGCCCAGGCTGGCTTTGAACCGTGATCCTCAGATCTCAGCCTCCTGAGTAGCTAGGATTACAGGCGTGAGCCACCGGCGCCTGGCTGGAAGAGTGGATTTAAGTCTCCTTCAGTTTGGGGGACTTCAACCTCGTGTGTTAAATGACAGAATCCTGAGCGCTGCTGAGGTCCTTCTTGGCATTCAGATGGCCATCATATTACTGTGTCCTTGAGATCAGCCCTCCTGAATGTCTCCTTGTAAGAGCACTAATCCTGGGCAGGGGGCAGGGGTGCCTAACTCCCTCCCAAAGGCCCTGCCTTCCCATTGGGAGTTAGCATCCCACAGGGATGGGTCTATCCACGGTTTAGCTATTCTGTCTGGCTGATCCAGTGTGATCAAATGAACCTGAGTGATAAGCAAATGAAGGCATCCTGAGGGTTAAGGTTGATTGAACACTTCAGAGGCACTGGGCACTGGATGAAGTAATTAATGTCATTAGTACAGCACATGGCTCACATTACAATGAGTACTTTTCTGAGAGGAAACTGAGGCTCAGCATGGTAATGTGGCTGTACTACTTGTCTTGAGCAGGTCTGTGTGACTCCAAAGCTTTGCTCGAAACCGCTGTGCCCCACTTCCTCCCTGAGCAGCTGGCTGAATGGCCTTGCCACATCCGATCTCATAACTCGCAGGCCCCACCCACCAAGCAAGTGCCTGGTGTGAAAGAGTCTCTTCATTGTTTGCAGGGCTGGGAGTCAAGTCAAATCCTCCCCCATGGACCCATCCACTCAGTTCTAAAAGATTACTATTTTTGAATAAAATATTCCAAGTCTAATTTTCACTTCTTATTTTCTTTCTGGCAACAAGAATGAGACTTGTCTAAGTCGTGAAGCACCATCAATGACCAAGACCCCCATCTCAAGCCAGTGTCATATTATAGGTTAATGCGGGTATTGGTAGGGATGGGATACATTATGATTTCCTGCTTTAAAAAGCTTGGGAAATATTATTTTCCTTTTCCCATTTGTCTACTCTTTATATCTCAGATATTTCTGTTGACTCGGGGAGCAATAGGAGAGGGGAGACCCTGCTTCTTTCCTCTGAGGACTTTGTACCAGGAAGGTCACTGGAGAATGAGTTGTGATGGAAGGATTTCGGTGTGGCACCTGTGCAGGGTTCTGGTCAGACGGAGGAGACAGGCGTTTGCGAGTGTTTGTGCCCAATGCTGTGAAGGTGACCTTTCAGGCTGACTGAAGTCTGCACAGTGCCCTGGCATGGACTTAGCTGTCTAGAGACTGTATCTTTGATGATACAGTCTGTAGTCTGTAGCCACAGATTACAATCGCTGGCTCACATCTCAAGCAGTTCTTCATGAGATTAAACTATGGAACTGACTTGTGATGTAAGTTCAAAAAAGTGCTTGATTTAGCCTACAGTCCACATTAGTTCTTTGGAAGGTTCTAAAATGTATCCTGACACGGAGCGTGACACTTAATGGTAGATAACGAAGGACTTGAGAGTTGGACTGTTGTGATGCAATTTAGGAGTTGGAAAGTCTGGCTGGTACATCTTTCAGCTTCAGTTACTTCTTGACACTAAGGTGTGAATGATGAGGGTATTTTGTAGGGATGAGTTTAATGATGGTTGTGGAGGTAAGTGCTTTTATGTCTGAAAGCTATGGTTCTTTGGTAGCTCCCTATGCAAAACAGAAGCTGAATATTCTAGATCAGATCAGAATTTTCTAGAAGTTTTTTCTAGACATCTTCTAGAATTTTCTTTTTTTAGAAGTCTTTTCTAGAAGAATTTTCTATAAGTTTCTGGAAATTTAAACAGGAGCAGGTTCTATGTTTAGCATTATTATCGAGTCAGATAAGTAAAATAACAAAGGGGACAATAAAAATAGCAACAAGGCAGTGGCTTACAAAAAACCCAGAAGTGGAGCTGTGGCTCACGTGGTAGAGCACTAGCTGTGAGCAATAAAGCTCAGGAACAGTGCCCAGGCTCTGAGTTCAAGCCCCAGGACCAGTATACACATTTGCACATGTACACTCCCCCACACGCACACAAGTAACAAGCCGCATCTGATTGTCCATTGGTTCTGAGCCCTGGGTTAGGTAGTTTTTGTTTTGTCAGTTGTAGGACTTGAACTGAAGGCCTAGGCCCTCTCTGTGTTCGAGGGTAGCACTCGACCACTTGAGCCACAGGGCCACTTCTGATTGGTTAATTGGAGATAAGAGTTTCACAGGGGACTTTTCTGAACAGGCTGGCTTCAAACCATGATTCTCAGATCTCAGCCTCCTGAGTAGCTAGGATTATAGGTGTGAGCCTCCAGTACCCAGATGGATTAGGTAGCTTAAATGTTCATCACACCTACAAAAGGAATAATTTCTTCTTGTAGATGAGAAACTGAAGATCAGATACATGTACTGAGATATTTCCCTTTTAAAGATATTTTCAAATTGCTCCACTTTTACCTTCTAATTTTGGTATAATTAGCCAGGTGACAGTGGGTCAGACCTGTAATCCTAGCTATTCAGGAGGATAGATCTGAGGATTGTGGTTTGAAGCCAGCCCAGGCATGGAAGTCTGTGAGACTCGTATCTCAACAACCAAAACATGAAATAGAGCTGTGGCTCGAGTGGTAGAGTGCTAATCTTGAGTGAAAAAGCTCAGGGATAGTGCCGGTCTTAAGTTCAAGTTGAACTACCACGCACACACACACAC